TCTAGCCCTAGACACGTCACTTTGTCGTGATTCCTTGCCTTGGACCGGTTCAATCTCGACAAAAGAGGGTCCAACCGGTCTTTCTAGGCACGGGCTTACCTCCTTTCTGGAGCAGGGTTCACTCCTATTTACCCTAAGTTTCTCTCTCTCTCTCTCTCTCTATATATAGCTTAAATATATATATATATTTTTTTTTTTTGAAAGCCCAAAAAAGCTAATATATTAACTAGAAAGAAAGATATAAATACAATGTGATGGAGGTCCCAAACATGACACCCTGCTCACAACAAAACCACAAGGGGTTCCACAACTAGAAAATACTGAAAAGTACATTAGAGACATAAAGAAAAAGCCTAAAAATGCAGAAATACATAGTATCAAGTGGCTAGAGAGCGACCCAATTTGGTTTTGCCTCTACCTCTGATTCTAGGAAAGGAGCAAGCTAATAAGTTGGTAAGATGATTGCCATTGCAAATAGTAACCAATGTATCATCCAATATGTTTCCGAGCTGGAGTCGGCCTCCATTCTTCTTCTTCATCCTGGAATAGACTTGTCATTCCTCTTCCGAAGATTGACTCACCTGATCTTGGTCTAAAGTTTGTTGGGGATGTGCAGATTGTTGGCATTAGAAGCAACTACATATACCGGCTGATCTGTTCTTGGATCAAAGGAGCACTCTCGTGTGTCTTGGCATGTGAGTGAGTCTTCAATAACAATAGGTGGTATGAGCACAACTGGATCTGTAGCTGTAGTATGTTGTTCTTCTTCAGGAACTGCGGTGTTGGGAAGAGGATCGGGTCGCATCTTCTCAACAGGGATTAGCGATATTCGGCCTTAGATGAGGATGCAAACGATAGCAAATATTAGAGTTGTGGCTAAACATACTACAATGAAAGCAATAAAGAGGATGTGGTTCAATTTCAACCTTTTGCCAATACCCATTGTGCATAGTGTCAATCCATATCTCATCAGGAGCTGATTGAGTGATATCTCGAGCCACATAGGGTCTAGTGACAGTAAGCGTAGGACTATCCACCTTGAGAGACTTACCGTAAGCAGTTGCTAAAGAACAGAGGATTTTCATGTTGAACAGATGTAATTTTAACTTCGGAAACTTTATTCAAACAGGAATGATAGGAGACTTCGCTTTTGGATCAAAACCGACAGTCCATTTCAGAACTTTCATAAAACGATTGTCAATCTTGATAGCTTTTCGAGAGAAAATGCGAGTGTAATCGACATCATGAGATAACTGAATTAGTATGTCTACCGTTAAGTAGACCAATGTTCCAACTGCCCAATAGTTTCATAGTATCAAATTTCTTCCTAATGATCTCTAGTTTTGGGTAACCATAAGGGAATTTCCCCACTAGAGAGAAACACCAAGAGGACGCGAGAGTACCGGTTTCAACCTCTGTGAGAATAAGTGCAGACTTCTCATTTTTTTTCCCAATTTTTTTAATAAAAGTGTGATCACTTTCATCTTCAAGAGCCTCATGGAAAGATTCTGGAACATTGCAGGACTTACCGATGACAAAACTAGACGCTGAACCTGGAAGAGGGGCACGAGCACGAAAGTCATCGGCAAGTGCATTTGCATAGGAACAGAGCGTCGAGGCTATCTCCCTCACAAGACAGAAGAGAAATAGTTTGGCGGGCAAGAAGCGAGCAGACAGACGAACATGAAACCTTTTGCCGGGCAGGAATCGAGCAGAAGGCGCGCCCTTCTGTGAACAGGAAATCGCAGACATGGAACGCGTATGAAACCAGAGCTCGAAACCAGAGCTCGAAAAGGGAAACAACGCCAAAGCCCTTCGTCGAAGACGAAGAACGCAGAGCCCTTCGTTGTCGTCGTCGAGTGCGGGAAGTTCGTCGTCGAGCACCAGAGAAAAGATTGATGACCGAAGAAATCAAACCAGGGTTTCGCCCGATGGCGAAACCCTAGCAAAGCAGATGGCGACCGACATTTCTAAAATGGAGGAGTGCAACATGAGGACTTCACTCGTGCGCTAATAATTCGAGTACCACACTCTACACTCGGGGGGAATCGAACCCCTGATTAGAGGAGACTTACAACTGACAAGCAGATGCCCGACCAACTGATCTGAGTACACGAGACACAAACACACACACACACACAGATATATGCAAAAATCATTGATATAAGAGAGGATACAAAAGTTTTAGTGAGTGAGTAAAGGGAACCAAACTCACAGGGACTACAAATGTATTCCCCAAAAATAAACAAAAAGAAACTACTATTCATTGTGGGTGTAGTCGGTGGATATATCACTTCCCCTTCCCCTGGATCTAGGGAGGGAAACCAACAAAATACTGAGATATAGGCTTCTGCCTGACACAATGATAGTCATCCCAAGATTTGCTGAGATCTGACAATCCTTTTTTCTTCTTCTTCCAACATTTGTAAACCTGTCAATCATCTGCTAGAGGTAGTCCTATGTGAACAATAGGTGGATCTTCGATGGAGGTAAACTGTTGATCTGACTCAGCTTGCAGCACACCTTGATCCTGACACTCTTCCATAACTTGAGTACCCTCTTCTCTCGCAATAGGTGGTTCGAAGACACTAGCATCTGCTACGACAAAATTCTTAGAATTTGTAATCTGAAGAGCTGCTTCAACAACAGTAGGCGGAAGCTGCTGGTCTGGTTGGTGAGGAGTAGCCTTATGAGTCAAATTCTCATTCAACATTTCTGAAAAATTAACAGTGTTTGTTATATTTTCCTCCACATGGATGATGTTGTTAGGACCTAACGATCTCAAATGTGGGTGAAGCCTGAAATATTTGGTAGGGGTGTGCCCAAACAGTTTACAGTGATTCCAGTGATAGGGTCTTTGTTCTACTATAATTGGCTGCCAATACCCGTTGTGGGCAGTATCAAGCCATATTTCGTTCACATGAGGGAGGGTGATATCCCTTTCAACAGGAATTCTTGCAACCGAAGGCCTGGTTATATTAAAGGTGGGTGTATCCAATTTCATATGTCTCCTTAGTGCAACTCCAATAGAATAGAGGACTTGGTGGTTGAAGTAGTGCAACTTAAAGCCAGATAGTTTAAACCAGATTGAAACTATAGGTGGTTCTTGACTAGGGTCAAATTCAGGAGACCACTTAAGCAATTTCATATATTTTTCCTCTATTGTCATAAAGTTTTTGGAAAATATTTTGGCATAGTCTTCTACTTTAGTAATTGTATCATCACATGTCTTCCAGCAAATAGGCCAACCTTCCAAAGTCTCAATAAATTGAGATCTTCAAAAGCCTTTCGAACGATTTCCATTTTGGGATGTCCCGATTGGAACTTCCCAATGAGGGTGAATTTAAACTTATTATCCAGGTTGGAAACTTCAACATCAGAGAAGAATATAGCCAGTTTGTCACTCTTCCTACTCGTCTTCTTGATAAGTTTGCAGTCCTTCTGGCCTTTTTGCAGTCCTCCTGGCCTTCGAATGATTCATGGTAAACCTGTAAATCTGAGGGAAAACCTAATCTGATCCCATAGAGCCAACCATATCAACAAAGGAAGCCTTCTCAAGGTTTATAACTGTAGTTGTTGGTGGTTGAGAAGGAGCAGTAGCCATGGAAGGGAGTTGAACAGCGGTAAACTACTTGAGTCTGAACTGCAAGTAGTTCACAGGACGGAGGCGAGCGCAACCGACGGAGCCGCAGAGCTGCAAAAGTCAGAGCCGCAGGAGGCACAACTGATAACTCGCGACGAAGAAGTCAGGAGCTGCAGAAGCGAGGCAAAGCTAACAGTCGCGCGCCACTTCGAGCGTGACAGTGCGTGACGGACAGGAGCCGCAGAAGCGCGACCGCAGGGCTAACAGACGTGCGTAACAGTGCGCGACGAAGAAATTGACACCAAACGATGCAGACGAAGCGCGATAGAGAAGAGATAGGACGAACTGCAATCGACGAGGAGACCAGGTTTCGCCATGATGGAGAAACCCTAGCCGAAAGAAATCGGAATAGACAAAATTTGTTTATATATATATATGTGTGTGTGTGTGTGTGTGTGTGTGACCTGACTCATTGGTGCGACCTCTAGTGTAAGTCGCTTAGGTCGGGGGTTCGAATCCCGCGGTGCGGGCTCTTTGAATTAGAAGCAAGAACACAAGGGTTTTCTACCCTTTGGGGAAATCGTTAGTTGGTGCCCACTGGACCAAATGTCGATTTCACCTTTTAAATATATATATATATATATATATATATATACATATATATATTATGTATATTAAGGGTGAGTGGTACTTCGGCTGTATCTCATTCCGATGTGGTGATTGTTCTCAATTTTTCCCCTCCTCTGCATTCCTTACTTCACTGCTATACATCCTTCCTCGTTGCAGCCGCCCAGGACAGCAGCTTTTGCTGCTCTTTTCTGCAGTTCTCCTCTTTCCAGCTGCATCCCTTCCAGAATCCCCGCTTTCCTCTTTCTGAACCAGCCACCGGCCTTCCCCTTTCTGTTTCCAACAGCTCTCAGCCTTCCAACCAGCCGTCCAACACCCAGTGCATTTGCTACTGCTTCCTTATACCATTTTCCTTCCATCTGCCACCTAGCATCCCTACCGCACCACCCTCTGCTGTCTGTTGCTATCTCACAACAGTCTGTATACACCTTGCCATCCCACTTCTCTGCCACAACATTGTCTACGGCCTGCTGCCATTCTACGGCAACCATCCAACACCAGCCCTCTTTCTTGCCGCATTCCTTCAGCCTATCACTGCCGCCTAACGCCCTTCCAACTTGTATACCTGATCACCACCCCTTTGGGATAGGTTGAGTTTGTGGAGTCGGTTGCCACTTTTTTTTTTTTTTTTTTTTTGCGTTTGTATTTTCCTAATTTTGAATTCAACAATAATATTGGGTTTTCCTATCATTGTTTGGGTTTACTCTGGTATCATATATGTATTCAAGTGAAGTTTTCATCAGGAAACTGCAGTCCATCTTTGACATATAAATTTGCATTCAATGTGCAGGAAGCAACGGGTTCTTCTCTTGTCTGATCTTCCAAGGAAGCAAATAGAAAAGCTTGGTGATAGTATTACCAAAGATTTGAATCATATTGATATCCTTACAAAGAGGTATTTTAATTGCTGTGGTCCATTCAATTGGAAACTCTCTTAATTTTAATTCTCCAAGTGATACTGAGATGCTGCATTACTTGACAATTCAATGTGTAGAATTTCTGAAAAAATTCCATCTTAATATACTTGCTTCACGTCAAATAGAATATTATTTTCCAGTACTTTAGAAAGGATATTTTCCTTGGCTCAGCTTTCCCTAGGAGATATTAATATCAAATAAAAGACTACTTGATGTTATGGCCATTTTTATTAATATCGAAACATTATTATTAATGATTTCTGAGGAAATTATAGGTTCCATCACTAGATAAGAATGCTTCATCTATAGAAGAAATTTTTTTATTTTAGTTAAGGCACCCATTAGAAAAGTGGAACATTCTAAATTGTGTCTTTTTATTCTCTTTTTTTTGTCCGTCATCTTCATGCAACTTATATTAATAATCCCATTTGTAAATATATGTAAAATTGGCTCGAGCACCAGTTATATTGCCACGTTGGAATATTTTAAGGCTATCTTATAACATTCCTTTTGGTCAAGTCGATTTGCAGCTCGTTTGGTTTTACTCTTAATCTGCGTTTTTTTAGGATTTATCTTCTCCTTTAATATATCATTGATAAGCATTCATTGCTACTTATTTATTTTTATCTGTGTATAGATAATTTCCACTTGCTCTGCTGGAGTCTAATACATGTTTCCTTATATTCAGTTGCAGCCTTGGCTTGACAAAGTCTTTTGAAAGAGCAGCCGCCAGCAGAGCACGATCTATTATTATGTTACTGGCAAAGAATGACTGGTTAGTAATTATTTGTTAAAGCTTTTGAGAAACTATAGAGATTGTTTAGCTTATAAGTTGGGTGAGACTAACAATCATCATTATGTCTTTCACTATTCTATTAAGAAAATAGAACTTCCAGAGAGAAGATGACGCATATCAATGTGTTAGATTTTTTGGATTACATAATGAAATTGACTTAGCACTGAGATTGTATGCCTCTTGAATGGGCATTTATTGGAGAATATATCCACGGGTCTTCTTTGTCAAAAGTTGTCATGTATCATTTCCAGAGGTTCTCTTTGGATGATAAATTGGAATGTATGGAATTCATCTTGATTTTCTTGTTGGAAGTTAAGTAGATCTTTGCAATTATATCATGCCCCTAACTGTTGACTGGATCTGAATTGATATTGGTATAGAAGGAAATGAATAACAGAGAGTCCAAGCTAATAACACTAATCCAAAAATAAAAACACTAATCCAAGAAATAAAAGGAAATGAATAACAGAGAGTCCAAGCTAATAACACTAATCCAAGAAATAAATCTAATCCTTATAACTTTTAACAGGAATAAATTATTTCTTATTATAACATCTAACACTTAATCATTAATTGGACGAAAACTAATAATCTAAAAGATTTCACGATTGACCGACTATGTGTTCGATTTTTTCACTTGCAGTATTTTCTACAGATTCTTTTGATTGTCACACAACACAACATCTTTCTAAATTTCAAAAGTATTTATTAGTAAATTGGCATTAATTTAATTTATTTTATTCGTCAATCTACAAATTACTCTCATCCAATCCTAAACAATGTTATAATTCGAAATAATTTTCTCAAACCACCCCGTAACCCCCCGCCCCCCAAAAAAAAAATAATAATAATAAAATAAAAATCGAACAAACAAAAATCATAAATTTGGCCATAGAAATGGGCTTTAAAAACTTTGAAAACATGCCTAATTCAATGTTATTATGTTTTGATTCGACTCTTTAACTTAACTATGATCATTCAGCATTTATGGACTGATTTAGCTTGTTTAAAAACTTGTACCTCATCATGAATATAATATTATTGTTATTATATGCAGACATCATGTTTTACTGTTTTCTAAAATATAGTTTTTAAAGGAAAATTGTGTTTGTTTGTGTTCTTGTCAGGTATGAAGTTGATACAGATGCATTTCTCTCTTTATTAGCTTTGCAACCTTTACCGAAAATAACTTCTGTTCCAACCATTATTGAGGTATATTATCCTATGAACTCTTATTGGTTGAAACTTAATTAATTTTCATTAACTATTATTTATACGCATACTTCTTGAAATTTCAAAATTAATGCTAAGTTTATCTCATTATGCAGAAATTTCTGTTAGCTATAATTTGTATTTTCGGCTATAAGATCATGAATACCAAAGATCTTAGAGTTATTTAGTCCTACAAATATTTTTCGTACTTGCTGGAAAATTTTACAATCTTCCATGCCTTTTTACAAGAAATGCTTTTGAATGTCTGTCATTTTTTATGATAACTCATTAGAAACCCAAAAAAGATGGTATAATAAAATCGAAGTGACGAAGCTGATGAGAATGATCATTCTGCTCTATTTTAGGTACCTCCTTTGTACAAATTCTTTTAATCTAAGAATTCTAAAGGATTTTTGTAAGCTTATGACTTCAAGGTGAGTTCTCGAATACTCGATGAAAACTTTTTCTTTCAGCAGCCCAAGACATCTGGAAGAAAATCAACTGCCAAGATTATTACCAAAATATGTTAAGGACTTAAAATAATTGATTTTTAGATCTGTGATGCCATCAGCCATCGAACTGAGAGAAAGTATACTTTAGTTAGAGAGCTTGTTATCTAGAAGCACCATTATTAGTAAAGGGAGGCTTCAAATGCTTATTTAATTTATTTTTCTGGTAGGTAGCCAGTGAAGTTGATGTGGACGTGGTTGGGCGGGCCATGGAAGAATTTGTGGCCAATTGGACTGTTCCAGATGGAATTGGGAAGGGTGGACTGGCCTCCTTAGGGATGGGAGTTGCCGCCTAGAAGGAGCGGGCCACTTTTTTGTCACCTAATAGTATTTATATGTTATTTTTTTGTGTTCTAGGTCAATTTTGCTTTCAGATTCCTGTCAGGACAACCACCAACGTTCAACTTTCCCTCCTAGGGTTGTATATGAAGGAGAGAAGGTACCCTGGTTGTACTCGTCCCGTGGTGTGTTGACCTCATTTTTGTGAGGTCTTTTCTTCTCCTCCTTAGAGCCTAGGTTCTAGCTCTAGAAATTCCTATGGACCATCTTAGAAAACTAGAATTGAGACTCACC